CACACACACACACACACACACACACACTGGAATTAATAACATTTGAAGGGCTTCAAAAGCCTTAAAAGAAGGGATGCCAGAAGGTACTTCCTTTGGTGCATCAGAGATGGGACATCACAAGTCTGATTCTACCAGGGTTGGAAAACTGCAAACTGGAATTAGCTGGGAGGAACTCCTACTGCCAGGATGTGGGAGCCCAAAGTGACTCTCATAGGAAGAGTAAGAAAACAGAAAATAGCAAGGCCTTTCTTTCTTCTCCTACCTTTCCAAGTCCCTCTAGCACCTCCACACACACAATTGCATAGACTAGCAAGAAGCTAGCTGGAAAAGCACAAAAATATTTTTTAAAGTCCCAGCTCTAGCACCACAAAGCCAAATACTAAAGAGTCTATTTGGAGCTGAGAGACAGTAGCTTAATACCAGACAGTAACATTAAAGAATAAAAGTATAGAAGAAAAAACATTTTCCTTTACTGTCTTTGATTCTAAGACTGAGGATCAGTGAATTAAAATGACTAAAGATAGATTAACTGAAGCAAAGGTATACAAACTTTATTTGGTGCTAGTATCTTAACTTTTACACTCATGGAAGCCTACATAGAAAAGAAGTGAAGATCCAAAGTAGTTAACCTTAAGGAGCTTATATACCATTTCAACAAAGGGCAGTAAACTATAGAGAAGTAACTAAACAAAAGAAAAGGGACTCAAGTTTCTAGGGGAGATAAATTGTGGAAAGGTAAATGGATGGGGAAACTAATAGAAGAAAGGATTATTGTACTAAAATGTGTTTGTATAGGCTGATTTCATTGCCAACTCAGTTCCAAATGATAAGCATTGTCCTCTTGGTAGGGAAGAAGGAAGGAGGAAAGCCCTCACAAAGGGAAATTTATCTTTGTTTTTGGGAAGACAGGTAAAAGACAAAGGTTCTTTCTGTGTTTGTGGCTTTTTAATTTCTTTTAGCTCAAAATAATCCTTAAGCCAAATTCATATATTTTGAGTGGCATGCAGTACTAGCTTTTCATTGCTGTGAACAAATACCTAAGGAAAATAACTTAAAGCAGGAAATATTTATTTTGGCTTACAGTTTCAGAGATATCTTTCCATGGTCAGCTGGACCCAAGGCAGAAGTGTCACAGCAGAAGAACATGGCAGAAGAAAGCTTCTCATCTTATTTCATCCAGGAAATAGAAAGAGTGAGGAACCCAGGGAGGAAGGGAGCAGAGACCAGGTACAGTCCCCAAGGTCACGCCCACATGATCCAGTCCCTTCAACGAAACCCCATTTTCTCAGTTTCCATTACCTCCAAATCATGCTGTCAAATTATGATTTCATCAGTGGGTTAATCCATCGATGAAGTTTAGAGCCCTCATGGTTAACTTCTAAAAGCCCCATCTCTGAACACATGAGACGTTTGGTAGACATTTTGTATCTAAACCATAGCAGATCACATATTCTGATCTTTTTTAACAGCAAGAAAAAAGTACCAAATGTACTTAGGATTTTCACCATATTCTAAGTTTCTTAAATTCTACTTTAAATTTTTTCAATAGTAAGCAATTATAAAGAAAACTAGAAATAGTATTACATAATAGCAATATATTACAGTGGTTTTAAATCTACATTCACTTGTAAATATGTCTTGTCTATAATGTTCAAGAAATATTCAGTCTCCATAGAAATAATCTTTATAGATGTTAACTTTAAAATTGATATGTAAATCTCATGTCTTTCACTCATTGAAATGTTTTTGTTTCCTTATATATTTACTGCAGTGTTATTTTACTGCATATTTCTCACATCAATTTGATTCAGAAAAACTTTTCTCCAGGCTTTTTAAAAAATATTTTAATACTTTTAAAAGTGAGTAGCTAAACTTGTATGGCTTTGGATTTTTTGTAACCTTGGAAAACATCGTTTATACTAAGTGATGGTCAACAGTATCAATTGAATGTTAATTTCTTTTTCTGCCATAGCTCATAATCACTAGGTCGAGAATCTTCTCTTTCTCTGCCTAAACCTTCTAATGTACTTTCTATACTATCTAAATTAAATCTAGTTGCTTTCACAACATTTCCCAACCATGTTATCTGACAGTGGTTGCAAGATAAAATTTGACATGAATTTCTTTAAAATATGCCGATTTTCACTGCTCCAGAGATTATCAGAAATTATCTCTTGAATTATGGCCCCAAAACGTGATTATGTTACGTCTTCTACTAACAAACTCTAACTGTGCACATTAACTGACACAAAGAATAGTTTTGGATATTTCAAGCCAAAGTCTAGCTCACCCATCTCTTTACCAATCATGTCAATGTGATTGCTCTGGACTGCACTCCTCAGTCTTTCAAATTAATACCTAATGTCTAAAGAAGACTTTTTTAGTTCTTCAATTAAGTTTTTCTTTTTTAAAAAGGTACTCATTACAACTGTCATAAAATCAATAAAATACTCATTTTGACCTCCGTATTTTTGTCTCTTGGTCCAGCAATATATACAATAAGTGTTTAACATTTTGTCCTTTCCACAATCTGACTGAATTGAGTTATATAGACCTTTTAAATTTTTATGCATGGCATTCTGTCCTACTTAATTACCTGTTAAATTAATAATTGCACGTTAAGCTGTCTACATAGTGACAATTTGTTTTACAATTGCTTGTCAATCTTATATGTTTGGCCATCCTAGCAGTAAATTTTGAAATTATTTCTAGTGAATTCAGGAAATTTTCTATTCTTCAGTAAATGCTGTGCCACAAAAACCATTGTGCTTTGTTGTAAAAACATCATGCCAAAATTCTCTATCACCATTTACTTGTCTGTATGGAGTACTATTGATTGCTATTTATTTGGTCTTCTTTGTTCCGTTTAGTAATTATGTGTGAGGATTTTTGAGTTAAAGTGGCATTTATTGATTGTAATTAAATCTTCATCAAGGAAGAAGAGAAAGTTGCAACATTGCAAAGATTCTTCTGATCTGCTATGAATTTCCTTAAAACAATTTTCTGTCATTCTTTCTTTTAATCATCGTAAAAAATTTAATGGCCTGTTTGCAATTCTTATCTTGTTGTATTCAGTGGAAATCTGTTGCTCATTGTTGTCATTGTTGTTCATCTGTTGATGAACATTTAGGTTGTTTTCACCTTTTAGCTGTGTGAATAATGCTACATGAACTTTGGTGTGCAAGTATCCATTTGAGTGTTTGTTTTCAGTTTCTTAGGTGTATACTTAGGAGCGGAATTTCTAGGTCAAATCTATGTTCAACTCTGAGGAACTCATGCTTGCCTTTTGCACCTAAATTTTCTTTACTTTAAGTTTTCTTAAAGGTGAAGTTCTTCAATCCACACAAAATATTTTCCTGATAATTATGTGTGGGACAGAGCTAACTATATTTTTACATGAATGTATAGTCAATTATGCTGATCTCTATTTATTGCATAGTATACTTTTTTCCACTGCTTTGCCATACCCTAAATTTTCATATAAAACTTGAGATTCTTTCTGAACTCGTTCTTTCCACTGAGCCCATCCACAGCTGAACAGAAGCCTGCATTGTTCTTTTTTGAAAGTATTCTTACCTTTTCTCATACATGTTTTCCTCTAGATAAACTTTAAAAAGAAGGGCAATCATTAGGGGCACGGTAGACTAGGGAATTTCTAACTTCAAATTTATAGAGTTTAATTAAAACTTTCTATGGACATTAATTGGAATTTTGTTGATTGACAGCTGTATGGCTTTTTACAATATTAAGCTCTTGCACCCAGAACCTTGGTCTTTCCTCCATTTATTCAGGTCACCCTTCAGTAAAAACCTGCATTCTCTTTACTTATTTCTAAATTTTGTTGCTACTGTGAATAAAGCATAAAAATGTCTGTCTTGGCTGCAGTCCGACCGGGAGGAGGGCAGTGTAGTCTCCTTGGTGCTACGGAGATCTCCAACCAGGACAGTTCTCTCTCTTGGGGCCTCTCCTGTCCTGCCCTTGAGTGTCCTCGCCTCCTAGGCCTCTCGTATCCAATACCGTGGGGCGAGGTGAGAGCAGGCCCGGGGAGGGTGATCAGTCGGAGGAGCTGCAGTCTCTACGAAGATGATAGAAGTACTGTCAACAACTGACTCCCAGAAACTGCTACACCAGCTGAATATCCTGTGGGAACAGGAGGCCAGATGTCAGCCAAAGGTCTGCCGCTTGAGACTAATTGAATCTGCACATGATAATGGCCTTAGAATGACTGCAAGACTGAGGGACTTTGAAGTGAAAGGTCTTCTTAGTCTAACTCAGTTCTTTGGCTTTGATACAGAGACATTTTCTCTAGCTGTGAATTTACTGGACAGATTCCTGTCTAAAATGAAAGTACAGCCCAAGCACCTTGGGTGTGATGGACTGAAATGCTTTTATTTGGCTGTAAAATCAATAGAAGAGGAAAGAAATGTCCCATTGGCAACTGACTTGATCTGAGTAAGTCAGTATCGGTTCACGGTTTCAGACTTGATGCGAATGGAAAAAATTGCATTGGAGAAGGTGGATTGGAAAGTCAAAAGCTACTATTGCCTTTCAATTTCTACAACTCTGTTATTCACTCATTTAAGAGAGCTTGCCATTTGAAAGGAAAAATAGCCTAACTTTTGAAAGACTAGAAGCTCACCTTAAGGCACCCTTCTGTGTTGGCCTTATCTATCATTAGAAATCCAAGCACAGAAATGTGTAGAGTTAACAGAAGGAGTAGAATGTCTTCAGAAACATTCCAAGATAAATGGCAGAGACCTGACCTTCTGGCAAGAGCTTGTATCCAAGTGTTGAACTAAATATTCATCAAACAAGTGTTCCAAACTGAATGTTCAGAAGTTGAAGTGGATTGTTTCTGGGCTTACTGCATGGCAACTGAAGTATAGCTACTATAGAATAACTCACCTTCCAACAATTCCTGAAACAATTTCTTAATTAGTAACTTTGGTTGTTATTCTCCATATAAAAAAATTGTATAATTTTCTTCTACAATTGAAGTATTAAAATATTATCTTCAAAATAAACCAACTGGATTTGGAATAGCAAAAGGGAAAAACTGATATCACCAATCTAGTCCACTAACATTTGAAGACATTTGCTATATATAAGGTACAATACCCAGGCATGGTGGTGCACGCCTGTAATCCTAGCACTTGGGAGACTGAGGCAGGAGGCTCGCCATGAGTTTGAGGCCAGCCTGGGCTACATAGTGAGTTCAAGGTCAGCCTAAATTACATAGCGAGACCTTGTCTCAAAAAAAAATTTTTTTTAAAAACACCCTTAGAAGTTTCCAATCTCTCATATATATATATCATATATATATATAGGATATATATATATCTCATATATATATCATATATACGGGATATATATGATATATATATACCATTTACATTAAATAAGCAGCTTAGAAAATAACATCTTCTTTAATAACCTGAATTTTTAAGGTAGTGCTGAAGTAATTTTTTAATTGCACATTTTGCTAAATATAGACCTAAGCTCTAGCTCATTTAAAGTTGTAATAGAACCAAAAGGTTGATCGACATATGAACTAATTTGAGACTGTTAGCTTATAAGCAGAATCATTATGAATTTGAATGTTACACCTAAAGAAAAGGTAATACGAAGCAGATGATCTCTTTTGGGTTTCTGAAAATTGCCAGTATGTCTCAACATACTGCTATTGCAATTAGAATAATAGAAAATAATTCTCTTCGTAAAAAATATAAATTCAGAATGAAGAAGACCTAAAAATTCTAAACAACCCAATATCAATCAGCGAAATTGAAAAATATAAATTCAGTCACTGTATATATTCTATATGTTCTTGCCATCTAAATTTATTAACTTACAGCAATGATTTATCTTTTCCTACTCAAAACTAAATGTTAATATTTAACACATATAAATATGATTATGAAACTTAGGTATGAAAAATTTACCATTAATAGCTGGTAGTATTTTGATAAAGTTTTGATAAGTTCTTTACATAAATATTATTATTGCGGCAACAAAAAATTTTCTTTGAAGCCTTCCTCCATAACCCTAAACTATGGATTCCATAATGTTATAATGGATTTAAGTTATGAACCCTCAAAACATCACAACTATAGGGCCGAGGATTTAGCTCAGTGGTTCCAGTGCCTGCCTCGGAAGTACAAGGTCCCAAGTTCAATCCCTGGTACAAAAAAATAAAAAATCACAATTACATTAGTATGATGTTCTCCATCTTTGGAAAATTGCCTAATTAATATAATGCTGCAGTAGGATTATTTAGATTTGAACTGATCTGTAAAGCTAAAGGCATAAATGTGAAACACTTAACACATGCCTGAAAAGGTAAACTTTTCAGTTTACCAGTCTTCATTTCTAACATTAATTTAACTTTCTATATTGGATCGATATATTATATTTAGGTGATATTGAAAATGGTAACCTACTTAATTTAAATGTTAAATTTTAAATTATGAGGTTTACATCAAAACCAACATTTCACACATGCACGTTTTTAAGGCATGATAAAGGTTATGTTCTAGATAATGTAATGGTTTCTTGGCCCTCATAATGCAAGTAATAGATAGCTCAGAGATGAGAATATTATTGCTATATGGGAATTACATTTAAATTTAAAAACATTTTGTATTAAGCCAAAATACAGGCCTACTAAGTTTGGCATATTCATTGAGCTGTTTCTTCTAAAAAAAACAAGTGACATTTATATCAATGATAAAAATTTCTATACAGAATCTACTCCCTCAGTCTATCTAGATCCATTTAAAAAATGTTATATTACAAAGTCAAAATCAATCATCACTCTGAAAATTTGCTTTACCCTAAGTTCTGGCTAGATAAAGCACTCCAGGTTTTACTATAGACTGTTTCTATAAAACTGCCATTGCTTCCAGTTTTTTTTTTAAAGAATAGAATACACTTTCACATATTTCCATAATGTGTCTTAAGAAAAGTAAGGAGGCACCACTATAATTATAAGATTGCTGAGGTAGTGTTTGGAATTCTCCATGTGAGCCAATCAATGTAAGGAGCTGTACATACATTGTTAGTGTTGTAGACAGTTAGTGCAGCCTGAAGCTGAGTCTATCCAGAATGGCTGTAATCAATTTTGACATCATGTTAGAGATAAATAAGCATTGAAAAATAAACCAAAGAATCACAATATATTCTACCTTTAACTTTTTGTAAACCATGTTTTGTGGATATTTTCATTTTTATCATAAAGCTGATCTATTTCAACATTTTGAAAACATCAGTTGGCAGAGGTAACCTAATCGACTACCATTACATTTGCTACTAAGAGATATACCTTTCAATAAAATTATTGAAAAGCAAAAAAAAAAAGTCTGTCTTTAAATGCTTTAGGGAAATATCTATTTAGTAATAATAATATTACTCCTTTAATAGTTCTTACATTTTTAGACATTTAAGCTTTTTCAACTTCCTGCTGTTATAATTTAGGAGTATGTTACACATGAATCTTTAATGACACTGTAGATTTTCCCTTAGAATATTTAGAACAGACTTCACATTTTTGGACAATCGTAAGGTTCTTGAGGCACATTCTTGACATACTGATTTCCATTACACTAAAAATAAAATTCAGATTCTTCACCATTGTCCATATAGCCAACCTTACACAGTTTCTACCACCCTCTCTAACGTAATCTCCTGCCACTTTCTCTCTAGTCCACCATGACCCAAATGATTGCCCTTCTCTTTTTCTAGAATAAACCAAGCTTATTACCCAAACTTCAGAGGATAAATGCAATAAAAACTTATCTCACCCTCACATAAATCCACCATATTGTAACTAGAACATCTGGAACACGTGGTTTCCAAAACTATTGGAAACTATTCCAAAACTATTTCCAAAACTGTTGCAGGTGTGCAAAGAGAGTTCTTAACTGTCTTGACCCACATGTCATATATGTCATAGTCCATTAATCCAAACTGGTCACATGATCCAGCCTGACTGCTAAAAAGGCTTGGAAGTGCCAACACAGACATGGAAAATTAGCTGAGCACACTTGTCTCCGGCACAATGACCAAGTAAATGCTTTTACCTTTCTGTCGTTTTTCTGGAAATTAAATACACTCTCCTATATGTTTATTAGCTGGCAGTATCATGCTTTTATGAATCACTTTTGCATGTCTTTTCCATAATTATCCATAAAAATTCTGGCTAAATTCTTATTTGACCACTAGACCTATTTATATATGAAGGCTTTTAGGATTTTAAAGATTCCATTGCCACCTATTCCAAATATTTTTTCTGCATTTACTTCGCATTTTTAATGTTACATATTTTACTGGTAAAAGTATGTTTTATGTTAAACTAATAATCTATATTCTATTTGTTTACTTTGACTAATAATCCATTCTGTTGTTTTCCTTTTTAAATTTTTCCATTGCTTTTAAACTTGAAAAGCCCTTTTCTTTCTAAATACCAAATTCACTTATTTCTTATTTTTTATGCTTAGAAATAATTTGTTGCTAGCACATGAGGGGAAATGAGGAACTCCCCAAAAACCTAAAAATGAAATCACATAATAGACCAGAACACAGACATGCATCATTCCACTAGACAAATTGGCTACTAAGCCAGAGCTTTATCACATAAGGATATGATAGAAGCCAAAAAGACATAGTCCAAGGAAGGAGTGCCACCATCAGATCTATGTGACAGCTGCTTCTCTTTGGAAATAGACACACCTGGTTATCACCAGCCACTAGAACATCCAACTCTGTTTATGATTTCAGGGTCTCAATGCTCACTTCTAATTATGAGCTGTCTTTCCATATTGCTTGCCTCCAGTGAGAGAACACACTGATTAAGGAATACAAATATCCAGTCTACCTGACAGCTACATTTGTGTTGCAAATGATGGGGCTGACACTCTAATTTACACAGCACTGTGTGTGTCTACTTAGAAAAAGTCAGTTCTCAGAAGCTAACTTTTTGGCTTATGATCAAAGTCAAATTTCAGAGCCTTGAACACAGAGACAACGCTCAGAAGCTGTTCCTTATTTGGACTGGAAAGCTATCATCGTCCCCAAGTGGCACCTGTGTATAGCTCAATGCACGATTACTCCACAGACCAGCACACTTCCTGAATCATTTGTATTTTCCTACAATAAGAACCATACTAACATTGTCTAAATTATTGCAGTTTCAGTATTTGTGTTACTGAAGCAAATTCATTTAAAGTCTAAATCAGCATCAGCAAGTGGGCCAAATGAGATCTGCTGTCTGTGTTTGCAAATAAGGTTTTCTTGAAACACAGCCATACCTATTCATTTTGATATTATGTATGGCTGCTTTCACTCTCAAACACTAGAGTTAAAGTAGTTTTAACAAAAAGACATATGGCCCATGAGCCTAAAATGCATTCTATCTTGCCCTTTATAGAACAAAGTTTCTGCCCTAGTGGATGGCATAGCAAAAAGATTTTTAAAAAAGAAATAAAACCTGGATCCCTGGATGAGCTGATGGAATAGAGCCTACATGCCCATCTTCAACTAGACATTAGAAATGCATCTTGATTATACTACTGAATTTTTGTGGTGTCTGACCATAATTAACCGTCATCTAACAATTCATCTTGCTAAGTGATTATACCTGGTGTGATCAAAAGATATGTGAATGCTTAAATTTTTTTAATGCAGTGAATGTTTAAATTTAAAAATTAAGTAAAAGCCAAGCTTTGTGGTGCATGCCTATAGTCCCAGCACTCAGGAGGCTGAGGCAGGCAGATTGCCTGTAGTTCGAGGCCAGCCTGGGCTACAAAGTGAGCTCAAGGCCAGCCTGAATTACATGGTGAGACTCTGTCTCAAAAAAAAGAAAAAAGAAAAAAACCCTAAAAACTAAGTAAAAGACACATTGCTGTTAATAATCCTCCAAATACTTCCCCTTGCTTTGAACACTCTTATCTCATTGTT